CCTTCATAGCTAGGGGCCAATTCAACAATTATAGATACATACTATGCATGCCATACTGCACATATTCTCTGGTGATATGACGACCAAAAGAAAATTCAAATTTGTGCAGACATTATATATATTCATGACTAGCTAGCTGCTAGCTTAGCTTGTGCATGCATTGTATATATATTATTGGTCGTCGGTAAGGCCGCATGCGAATATAATGCATGTATATATGTTTGAATATATATAATTGAATTGAAGGATATTTTGGTTGTCTAATCATTAGGGAAACTGCCCTGCATGCATGAATATAATAATGTCCGGCCTGCCTAGCTATCGCTATTATCCACTTCATATAATCATTCAACATAGAATCTATCTACCTAAGCTAGCTAGGATCTACCAAGAAATTATGTGGGAGATTTGGGCTAGGAGCCATCGCAATCCACACTAGATATACTATAATTATTCATCAACTTATTGTAGTAGGCTCTACAATATAATAATGAAGTTATAGGAGAAGCATGCATGCAAATGATTCTTGCAAGCTTTCAACTGTGGGTTTCGCCTAACATTTCAGTGATTTGATGTGACTATAACTTCAATTTCATTTGTTATTTGTTTTGAGATATCTTATAATTTTATGTGTTTTCTTGATATTTTATAAATTATTACAATATAGAGTCCGAATTTTTGTGCAATAATAATTCCATTGATTGTTATATTATTCACACACTTTTTCTGTCTTTCCATTAAGAAGTGAATTCAAATTTGCATTCTTCTTTAAATGGGAGTAGATTAGAAAAGAATTTTCGGACACTTTCTTTGACTTTTCCAAGATAAACAAACTGCAGTTAGTTTATGAAAGCAAACTATTTCTATCATACGCTTATCCTATTTTAATTATATTCACATTTTTATATTTAACTTTTGAGACCATTTTCTATCTTTCAATTTTATTAATTTAATTGATTAAGGGGTTCAATTCCTTACGAGCTAAGTCCGACCTCATTTTTGAACTTGGTTATTTATTGTTTAGTAGTTATGTATTCTGCAAGTACGTACTCTTTTGAGCCTAGCTAAAACTCCGACAATATTATTATTATTATTATTATTATTATTATTATTATTATTATTATTATTATTATTATTATTATTATTATTATTATTATCTCCATTTTGTATATTGTTATCGGATTTATGATGTATTTTGTGTGACTGTCTATGTCAGTAAAATTATCAGAGTTGTACTTGTGTTAAAACAAGAGTTTTTTTTTTTTTTTTTTTTTTAAAGCTCTTATTGGTTGATACATTTTTTAAGTGTAAAATTATATATATATATATATATATATATATATATATATATATATATATATAAAGATAAAAAAAAAATAGATAAAGGTTATCACATAGGGAACATAATTAGTACAACTTTATGAGCAACTCATTACATCACTTCAACAACACCACTCACAAATCACAATACCAATCATAGTCGATAATTGCTACCAACTCCCTACCAACTGTCCACGTTGATAGTATTTAAAACAAAATGTATCTAATGAAAATTTATATTTTATTGTATCACAAATTGACTTAAGATATATAATTATAAAAATAAAAACACCAAAACAGACATACAAATAGTAACACTAGATATAAAGTACATAGTACATAAATCACAAAATGAAAACAAAGTACAATAGTTACGCCGGCCTGTTAATTACACTTTTAATCCCTAAAATATATAGAAATGGTCACATTATCCCTAAATTATAGAGGTAATCTAATGTCACCTTAGTTATGCTTCAGCTTTGTGAGACTATATCCTAGACAACATAAACTCATTCACAATCTCCTGAGTAGGTAAATTAAATCGAGTCAATTTAGTTTCAAAACTCAATATCAAACTGTATACTTATACACACAGGGAGCCCAACACAAACGAAAACTCAAACTCCCAGTGTTCGCAGTAGGAATCAAATCTCACTTTGCCACTAAAAGTAAGTCTTAAATGAGACTTCTCATCTACAATAGTCTTTAATTGAACCTTAAATTTTATTCGTGTTTAATTAGTTGCCAATATAAAAAGTAAAAATAGGCATAGTATGGAATCTAGCTAGAATACATCATATACACGTAACACGTGTGACTGCCGCGAATCAATCCCACCTTGCCACTAAAATAAAGCAAGTATTAAATTAGACTTCTCATCCACATTAATATTTAGTTGAACCTATCTTAACGCAAAAAAGTGCAATTAATCCTTAAACATTGTTATTTAACTTAAATTAGTACAATTTATCCAAGAAAAAATAAATTTGTCTAACCAAAATAAATGAATAAAGGTGTCTACTCTAAACTTCAGCCATCTTTTGCTAACAAGGCAGTTTGTTAGACAAATTTAGACTTAATATTAATCAAAGTTGGTCACCGGGCAATTTAAGTACAGTTCAAGACCAATACAATTTTGAACAATTGGGCATCCATAATGTACTATAGATTTGATAAAATTAAGAAGTTCATTTTCTTTAAAAAAAAAATCTAAATTAATGTTGCATCTAAAGCAAACATTGGGAATACTTTCAGATTGTTATTCAGAACGGCCCAGTAGAATTTCTCATATCTCAAGTACTACAAAGTTTATTATGGAGTACAATAATTTTGGTTTGTTACTTTGTCCCCATCAATAGACACTATAATTGTATCGAATATATGATGGATAGATACATTGAAATAATAGTGACCAAACGAGGGAGATATATATGTTCTGTTGCTTTTGTATTAGTTAGCCAATTATTCATGCAAAGAACATAGTACATTCAGCTTTTGCATTAGTTAGCCAATTATTCATGCATAGAACATAGTACATTCATCAAGTCAGATAAACTTGAGGTATCGATTTCAGAATCTTAACTGATAGCGATTTGTAGATTTCAAGCACCATTGCACAACATGTACCGAGACTGTTTGAGCAACTCGTGATTTACAGGATTTTAAGAACTTAGATTAGTCTGACATAAACGGTGAAACTTAATGTATTAAAAAACAAATAAACACAATTGTCATACAGTTGTAGTTTCGAGCCTCAATGGAGACGACATTGACTCTTTGTGCTTCAGTAGGTTGAGAAAGTAGTTATGAACATATATTACATTGTAGCAGAGTCTATAGTACTAAAAAAAACATCATTGCAGTATCACAAGATCATAGATTGAAGGCTAGAGATGTCTCCGGTTACTCTTCTGGTGGTGTCTCAGAAATGGAGTTCAAACAGATCACGGGTGATTGGAACATGTTCAAATGCTAGGAAGTCATCGATTGATTACAAGCCCGATCAGATGAATCACCTAAGAGATCACGAGATTCATTCCATCGGGTGAATGGCTGATGTTGATGCATTCAGATTACTCATCAGTGTTTAAGCCCAAAGCAGATTATACCCTGTTGGAAGAGTACATAGACTCTAGTTTTGCTGAACACTATTGTTAGCATAAACATAGGAAAGAGTCATATAAACAACATAAAAGCTCAATCTAACATTAGTGGTAGGCATGCTTGCAGACCATTTTCGTATTAATCTCCGGCAGCATGCAACTGGCTCAAGAATCACTACCTTTACCAACGCTTCTTAGCCAAATTGGTTAGGCTGTTAACTTAGTAATCACAAGGACACAAGATTACAAGTTTGACAGCCAACAGGAAAGGCCTATTGGCCTTCTCGGTTTTTGAACTGGTCAGCTATGGACAACCTAGGCTAGTTTCCCTCCTATTGGTCCTTTGTCAGCTAGAGTCACAAGGTGGGATTGTGTCCAACTTCTGGAGTCGAGACTCACCAATGTAGCAATTCATACCATTCCAAATCAGCACCACAACAAAGGTATCCAGTAGCTAACACCCGATCTCCCCCTGCATCATCGCTAGTTCCCCACCTCCCGCAGACTACCTAGTGATCCTATTCTGCCTCCATCACCTAGTTTTGAGCTACAATTGTGTTGGACTTTTAGCCCTTCTTTCCCAATGCACTCAAGTCACAAGTCTCAGCTCTTCTCATTGAGAAGAATGTTATATATTCCCCGCTTGCCCCAAATCATGGCTATGAGCCTACAAGCAACCAATTTATTGAATAGCAAATTATACAGAGAACCGGAAAATCATCTTATAGACAATATATGCTTACAATTAAATTGCATTTCTCGAGGAAAATGTATCTAATGGATAGAGAAGGAATCAGAAGGAAAATTATCTTTTAATCATACAGACAATGAGCCCTAGAAGCTCAGCACAACGACAGGCGCTGCACCAGGAGAACATCTGGGCATCATAAATCTCCGTCTTAAGTACCTGCATAATTCATCATCTTCCTCTCTATCCTTGTTAAGACTTAGGTCCTGTTTGGTAATGCTATCAACTAATCAGACCCACTAACTCAATCAGCTAACAGCTAACAACTATTTATCAAACACCTCCTTAGTCATGTTCTTCACACATAGATAGGTGAACAAATTTAGTTGGCAAATGAAGTCATCACAGAATATAATGTATTCTGCTTAGACAAATGTTCTTGCAACTATTCAAGTAATTTCAAGGAAATAGGAAAAATCATAACCACAAAAACACTCAGATGAGTAAGGGTAAGTCATCATATCCAATCACGAAGATCACCAGCAGCATTCAGCTGGGCAACCAATGGATCTACCATACTCAATCCTCATTGTTCAAACTAGCATACATATATTTGATACCACTGCCTCAAAGCCATTAAGAACTTAAAGAAAGAAAAAAATTTAATCACAAAATACTTAGAAAGGTAATCCAAAAATCAAAGCTTAATAACTAAAACAGCGAGGCTCTAAACAGTTACCCAGTTGTCAAAATTTAATCTTTTCCACAGAAATGCTTCCTTCCTATAGTGGTTTCGAATCAAAATTCACTCTTTATGCATTTTTGGAAATCTAAGAGTTGCATTTTGTGGTTTCGCATGCTTGCCTTTTCAATCAAAACCGACGAAGCACGCCGCCGCCTGGCGACCTTAGCACCAGGCGGCGCAACCCTAAAGTCCCCCCATTTGTAGCATCCAGCGGAAAAAAAATAGGTATTTGTCTAAAAAGAGACCTTGTTAGTAGGCCGATTAGCGATCAATCCAAACAGAATTTGGCCCATTACGTTTGGGCTTTAAGAGATCATGGGCCAACAGGATTTATATTGACAATTTATATCCTATAATTCATAGCATTATGGACTATGGATTGAATCAATCGTAAGGTACATAATTTTATAACACAAAACACAAAAAATTACAACACAATACATAATAGAATATTATTATGGACCGAATTGGATTGAAAAGGCGAGTTACAAAATTTATATTTGATAGTACTAATTGCCACGTAATGCGGTAATAAAATAAACACAGGACCAAATAAAGCAATTAAATCTTTTATTGATCTAGGAGAAGGCCCTAAGTACAATCTAAATGGTTGCTCTGAGTACCGATTGACTGCGGTCGGGATCTTCTAACAACAACCTGTCGATCGTCCAAAAGTCCTCCACACTGTTGCTACGCAGGTATTTATAGCCGCGGAGCCGGAGACACAAGTCCGGCTGTCCGGCATGTCGCCCACGTAGCATCCACGTGTCGCCTTCCCGGGTGCCCTGCCTGTCAACGCGTAGAGTCGCCACGTGTTTCTCACCAGCTCTCTCGCTAAAGGGCTACCGCTCGGTGGTCGGCAAGGCCAATCGGGCACCGGACCGGGTTCTTCACAGGAAACCCGACCTGCAACCTGCAAAGACAAGAAGAAAATGACAAAGGCATGTCGGTCGGGGTATTCCCTACCAATACTCATAAAGTGCAAAATTTAATAACACAAGACACATATACATATATATATTTATTATTTTTCAAATATAATTTAGGTATATAATTTGTACTCATAAGCATAAAATTTCACAATACATGACATATAAATTCATAACATAAAACGCAATTACTAATTTGTTTCAAATACAAAATTCACTTAAAAGGTCCAAATTTTACAACGCAAGACAAAAAAAAATCATAACACAAAATAAAACACATAAACCAGGATCCATAGTGGAGAGTCACTTTATGCTACTAGATCACAATGTCATTGACAGGTATTACATATAAACATATAGTATTTTATTATAATAACTAATTTATTTAATGCAAATAAATGATTAACCATTACTCAGTAAATCAGCTTGATTGCGTGAGTAACCATGCACTTGTATTCCTTAAGAGATGTCGGAATTTGAACCATTTTTCGTATGAAAAAAACAATTTAGCCAACAATTTGCATCTTAATTAGGCCGGGCCGATCCCGACGCAAACGGAAATTAACTTGATTATGGTACGGATTTAAAGGAACCTCATATAATTAAGGTCTGCTCTGGACACCTTGTGGTCTGAGGAAAAAAAAAACAATTACTTGGTAAAAAGTTTTCCTGTCAAATTTATACTCCATAGTATTTTTTTAATTTTAAATTATGGTTGTGCTAAAAATTTTATTGGGTAGCGCTTGTGGTATAAACGTGGAGCAGTAGTTGGTGAATTCAAATAACTGCTTCACCCGCCAAGTAGTCCCGCCCGTCAAGGAGTTGCCAAGAGTTCAAGCAAACAGATGAATCCAGCCAAGAAATGACATTTCTGAACCGTTTTTTGTTCGCCATAGCTAAAAACCACACATTCCGTTGTATCAAAAGTCAAGGAATCGGTTTGCTATGGACACCATTCAAGCTTAGAAACTTCAGCGATTTGGCTAGAAACGGGTATGACGTTGGTACAAAAGACTGCATTCCAATTTTACAGTCCCTGGGTGATGCCGGGGACTTGATCTCTGGCCAACAAATCCACTCTTTCTTGATCAAAACAGGGTCGAATCAACAAGTCTTTGTTCAGAACAATTTGATGAGGTTCTATTCGATGTGCGGTGATTTAAGTAGTGCCCACCAAGTATTCGACGAAATATCTGAGCCGAATTTGGTTTCCTGGACCAGTTTGGTCTCTGCGTATATTCATGATGGTCGGGTAGATACTGGACTATGCATGTTTTTGCAAATGTTTCGGACCGGATTGATGCCAAATGAGTTTGGGTTTTCTGTTGTGCTTAAGGCTTGCAGGATGATAAACCAATTTGTACTGGGTGAGAGTATACATGGACTTATATTGAAATGTGGGTTGGAGTTGAGTAAGTTCTGTAGCTCTTCCATTCTTGGAGTTTATGTGGAATCTGGGGATGTGAAAAAGGTGCATAAGTTCTTTCATGCAATTCCTCAATGGTGCAGGTCAGAAGCTTTGTGCAATATGTTCTTGGAGAGTTGTGTGCTGAGCTGTGATTTGGTGGAAGCAAACAACTTGTTTCAACAAATGGGTTACTCTAATATTAGACCCAACTGCTTTACATATGCAATTATGTTTAAATTGTGTGCTGCGGCATTAGTAGCTGATTTTGCAAAGTTGTTTCATGGTAAAATTGTGAAAATTGGTTTTGAAAGTGATCTCGTTGTAGGAGGAGCACTAGTTGATTCTTACTCAAATTTGGGATTTCTGGATGATGCCTATAAGGTTTTCAAAAACCTGGATGGGAATGATAATATGGTTATCTGTGCTTTATTGGCTGGACATATTCAACACGGGAATCCTGATCAGGGTCTGCATTTGTTCCTGGACTTCATCTCAGAAGGTAATAAGCCAGATCCATTTACCTTTGCAAGTGTATTCAGCTTGTGCTCAAAGTCAGCAATTGAGGGTATTGGTTCCCAAGTCCATTCCAGTTTGATTAAACATGGTTTTATTATGGATCCGGTTATAGGTAGTGCCATAGTCAACATGTACGGAAACATTGGGATGATTTCTGAGGCCTATAAATGTTTCCTTGAAGTTGAAAGCAAAAATACGATATGCTTTAGCGCTATGATCAACTATTTTCTTTTAGATTCTAGGCATGATATGGCACTAGAATTGTTTTTCAAAATGAGGACTTTAGCTCTTGAACTATGTCAGTCTACAGTAAGTTATGTTGTTCGAGCTTATGCACATCTTAACATGTTAAGAGAAGGAAAAAGCCTCCATTCATATACCTTGAAACACTTCATTGATATTGACTTGTGCTTGCAGAATGCTCTGATTGAGATGTATGTTAAGTGTGGGCTTGTTGAAAAAGCAGAGACAGTGTTTAATGCTATGATGATCCCTAATGAATTCTCATGGACAACTGTTATTACTGGTTACAGTGATTTAGGGCAATCCAAGAAAGCATTTTCAATGTTTCAGAATATGCTTCTCTCACCTGTGGCAGTGACACCAAGTCAATATACTATTGTTCCTCTCCTTCAAGTGTGTTGTTCAGGGGAAACATCCCTTGCAGGAAAACAAGTTCATGGTTATGTCATCAAAGCAGGTTTCGAACATAATCTATATGTTGGAAGTGCACTGATAAATATGTATGCAGGATTCAAGCATGAAAGTGAAAGTGCTTTTCTAGTATTTATATCAATGAACCAACAAGATATTGTACTGTGGAGCTCCATGATAACAGCATGGGCTCAAAATGGTTATTACAGGGAAGCTTTACTGCTCTTTGTAAAATTCCAAAATGATTCAATATTTTCAGTTGATGAATCCATTTTGGTGAGCTGCCTTTCAGCTTGCACAGCTTTAACATCACTGGAGATTGGAAAATGTTTCCATGCCTTGTGTATGAAAACTGGAATCGAGTCTTCTGTCCATGCTGCATCTTCCATAATAGATATGTATAGTAAGTGTGGAAGCATAAGGGATGCATACAAATTCTTTGAAGGGTTGAGAAAGCAAACTGTAGTGACATGGACCGCAATGATATCTGCATATGCTTATCATGGGCTTGGAATAGAAGCTATTCAACTGTTTCATGAGATGAAAGCTGCTGGGTTGAAACCAGACGAATTGACATTTACTGGAGTTTTAACTGCGTGTAGTCATGCAGGGCTCCTAGCTGAGGGTTGGAAGTTATTTGAATCCATGAGGACAGAATATGACATGGAAGTAACCATAGCTCATTACACATGCATGGTTGATCTTCTTGGTCGACTAGAAAAGGTAACCGAGGCAGAAGCTTTGATAAATGAAGCACCCTTGCAGTCAAAAACTCAACTATGGAAGATTTTGTTGGGTGCATGCAGCACTCATCAGAACTTTGAAAAAGGAAAAAAAATAGCTGAGATGTTGATTGAGTTAGAACCAAATGAACCAACAACTTATGTTATGCTCTCTAACATTTACGCTGCAGCCTCAATGTGGAATCACAAACTAGAGGTTAGAAATAAAATGAAGTATGAGTATGTACAGAAGGAGCCTGGGTACAGTAGGGTAGGAGTTGTGAGTTAACTATCTCTGTGCTATGTATATGTTATTTTCATGGATTGCCGAAGAGACTGTTAGATCTTACACATGGATATATAGCAAGATCAGAGGCAGACATCGCAGTGAAGCAAAGTCTGAGATTATTGGCTTATTATGTCTCTACTTGCAAGATGTCATCCAAACAAGGTATTTATGTGTGGGCAAGTTTTTCTGTTGCCTGTTGGGAATTTGATTATAATCATTATAACAGCTCTAAGCATAAAATATTGAAGAATGAGGAATGGCATGCAGCAGAGCAGGCCTTTTTAAGCTTCTCTTTGGTCCTCCAATTCAAGTTGCTGCATCTCCTAATCAAAGGTCACTTTTACCACTGCAAATCAAACCAAAACACAAATGATTGTACTTTTTCCTCCAGAATTCCAAATCAATAGATCTTCCGAATTGAATGTATTATAATTAATTTTCTCAGAATTAAAATTCTTGATTTATTTGTTGACAGGGAGTCCGTTTGCATTGGAATGCTTGTGCTCTGATCTAGCTTAGCATGGAAGATCTTTCCATTGGATGTTGATGAGGAGAAAGCTAGAATCTTGTGCCTAATATGTTCAACGGTAAGTAACAAAAAGTTTTGTGCCATTAATGTTTGTTCAAAATTAAGGTCTTATATATATATCATACAATAACGAATAACCCTCTAATTATCAGACCAGGTTTTAATGGCGTTCATATTGCTCTGTGCCTCTGTGTAATGGCGTTCATATTGCTCTGGAAACATATATGCATGGTGGTTCTAGCCGGCGCCGGTGCTGCTGTTGCTGGAGCGGCCGCCTGTTGCTGAGTTGGAGTCTAACGCCGGCCGGCCGCCGAGGAGAAATGCAGGCGGTTCACATTGAAATTGAGAGATGTTACGTTGCTGCCCTTAGCTTGCTGAAGCTACCAACGTTGTCACATACAATTGGCTGTTGCTGGGGTGGTGGTTGTTAGAAATGATCCCTTTGTAGTACTACTTAACTGTCAACTAATATAATGTTCTTCTCCCAAGAACGCTTAACACAACCTTTTTGGTTATATATATATATATATATATATATATATATATATATATGTATATATATGTATGTTTGTCTTTCTTCAAATAATGATGAAGTAAAACGATGATGGGATACTTTTGAATCTAAATGTATGATTTAATAAAGTTTGGAGATTCCTTAATTTGAATTTTCACTTAAAAGTAAGTTTTTGCTAAATGAATAATGCTTGTAAATATGCAATTTTATCAATATGTTAATTGCAACATTCTCTAAATTAAAAGATCTTTTATTAATTGGTTGCATGAAACTTCAATATTTCCCTTTATGAATTCAAAAAATTTTGAATTTTCCCTTGATGCTCATCCATGGATATTCATAAGATAATAGTTGTGTCCATGAGTTATTTTTCTAGACTTTGTATTGCTTTACTTTTAAAATAAACTTTCTCTAAGTTTTTCAACACAAAATTGAGACTTTTTTTTTTTTTTAATAAGTACAATCATCCTTGCTGACTTTAATTTCTTCAATTTCTTCCTCAATAGTCAATATTAGGATTTGAGTTAAATCTTCTTTGTGAGTTGTGACTAACAATTCTCTTTTAAATATGAAGTATTCTAATTGGTTTCTCAGGAGACACTCTCTTTTGTTCCTTATACAATCTCTTCCATATCATAAAGTCTTTCGTTAAAACATATCATGAGTCTTTCATAAAGGTTCGTATACGGTTCGTAGTTGTTACAAATCCCTCCCTGGTAATCTTCAGATCACCCATCCACCCTCCTAGACCACTTTCTGGAAATTGAGCCTTCCCCCAAGAATCAAGACCTTTTTCTGGCAGTTGTGTTCATCTTCTCTGCCCACCTATGACAGACTGAGATCCAAACAAATCCAGGTGCAAAGATTTATCTCCAAGAGTGGTCTCTGGCTAATTCTAAATCTGTCATTATTACCCAATTAATCTCTCTCAAATACAGGTTGCAATGCACATTGGTCGTCCAAATGGATGAAAGATTTACATGTTGACAACTTTCAGCTTGAAAGTGACTGTCTCCAGGTCATCAATGGGATTCAAGGCCTGAACCTCCAATCATCTTTCGATCTCATTCTCAATGATATTAGAGAAATAGCTATTGTTTTTATTAATATTAACTTTTTATTTGTTAAACGAAACTGAGTTGTTCATTTGCTAGCTAAGGAAGCTCTATCTATGTTTGGTTGTTTGGACTGCTCTACGGTCCCTTTCCCTAGCTTCCATTGTTGTTGCTTTGAACTCTGACTTAAATTAATAGAGTATCCTTAGTTTTGTTTGTTTGTTTTTTTTTTTTTTTTTAAATCTCTTATATTTACCATACTCTTCCATTTGACCATGTTGACTTTTATGAAGTTTTGAAGTCTTCCAGCAAAGTATCTATTAGACTTCTTCTAATGGTATTGCCAAACCTCTACTAATTAAAATATCTTCTAATTCCCAGCCTCTTCAATAAACACATCTCTATCCACTAGAGTCTCTTTCAAAAAGTTGGTCTTTAATTTTGAAGAGTTAACTTTGTCGATTTAGATGATTTATAAATTAATCATGTTGCCGGCGATGAGAGTAGAAGATCAGACAAACATTTAAAAACTGAGAGAACCCGCCAAACTAGAAGCTAGCTGTAGCTTATGATCCTCAATTTCCTTGAAACATCAACAGTTATTCATGGAAGCCAAGCCAAACTAGGTTGTATATAATGTTTGTTCAAAGCTAATTAAGGTCTTATATCATACAAAAACCCTCGAATTATCCGATCAGGTGTTGGCAAGCTTCCGCGTATATATAGTAAATTATTTATATTATTGGAGGGTGCAATTAAGCATGGAATCTAGTCTAATGGTGTTCATATTGATCTGTATATTGGCCGCTATTTTTAGTTGTTTTTGCATTCTGGCTTCTGAGTCGCGGAACAAGAAAGCAAAAAATAAGCGTAACGCCGGTAGGGACGGAAACATGGTTGTTCTAGCCGGCGCCGGCGCTGCTGTTGCCGGAGCGGCCGCTGTAACCGCCGTTGCTGAGTTGAAGTGTAACGCCGCCTAGGAGAAGAAACGCAGGGAGGTTGACGTTGAAATTGATGTTGCCGCCATTGCTGAAGTTAACAAAGAAGTCACAGCGGGGATGGTTGTGGCGGTGATGGCAGCGGGTGTGGAGGTGGTTGCGGCGGGGATTAGCTTAGGGGTAATGCAACATTGAAACAGTACTTGTAGTTTTTGTTTTTTTGTTTTTTTTTTGGGTTGGTGTTTGAAAACATTTTAATGCACAAAAACTAAAATAAATCTGATGGATGCCTGTGGGTAGAGTACCTAGTAAAGAGCACCCCACAGTTCTGAGCTTGCAACTTGACTATGCTACCCGGTTGGCCGCCCAGCGTAGGTGGTCAAGCTGGTGACCCCGATCGGGTGTTGTACACAGAGGCCATTAAAGGAGACTTCCTCCCGGTTCTGTGTGGGATTTTCATTTCAATAATAGGAAAGATGTATGGCGGTTTTGAAGCTTTTTTTGGTCATAATTTGTTAATCTCTTTTTTATTTCCTTTTTCAGGCACATAAATCTTGTATAAGTATTCCATAGGCACATTGAAACTACTCTTGCAATTACTCCATCAACTCTCTCTCCTACTTTTTCCTTTTGTTTTACGGTTGTGTTGGTCCGTCGTCCAACTACTCCGTGACGGTTAAACCAACAAAATCTTTATTCAATGCATGCACACGTACTCTTGAACATAGAATAGTGCATGGTTGCCATTTTTTTTGTCATCCAAAATAAATCAATAAAATAAATCTCCATACATGGGGATTGTTTGGTTGGATTAATTTTGTCAGCTTTTTTCTTCAAAGATCAACCTCAAAGAATGAAAGTAATGATAAATAATGTGAATTGTGATGCATACGAATTGAACTAGAGCATGCAAGCTAGCAACAAATGTGGATAAAGTTGAGGGAAATGCAACCATTCAAAACATAAGGAAAATCCCCTATTATTAAACCTTTACCAACAAAAATAATCAATGCAAAGGAAATTAATTAAAACCAACCTAACACAAAAGAAATTACATGTATCTAGGTTAAAAACACACCAATTATAATTAAATAAGAGAAAATAAAGCTACAAAAATCCAACCTGAAACCTTATGAAAAATAACAATGATGTCATCAAATTATAAAGTATTTATCACATTCCAATTAAAAAGTTGAAATGCATTTGTCCAATATGAAATTAAGACTACTTAAAAGCTTTTCAGTGAAAAATACATCCCCCAATTATGTGGTTTACTGTTTTTGTCTTGTAAAATAATGCATTTGAAAAAGAAATGATTTACCCATTTATCCAAAATTTAAAACCATCTTCTCTCAAATACTGCCACTGAATTGATTTAAATCGGTGCGGGGCACCAAAATTTAAAACCTAAACATTTTTATTTAGTGATTTCACATTTTTAAATTCGCATTTGGCACTGATGAGGTATATTCCTACAAAGAAAACAACTGGTAATTTATAAATTAATTATATATGTTGCCGGCCATGTGATCAGAGAAGAAGACAACCATTTGAAAACATACATACAAAGATAGATTATATATCCTCTTCTCAGACGCGGGTTCGAACAAACGTCAACACTAGCAAATAATCATCAATTTCCTCGAAAAAACATCATAGAAACCAAGGTAGATAGCTCTTATATAATATAAAAACCCTCTAATTATTATCAGGTTCGCAAGCCTTCTAGTACAGTACAGTACATTGCATAAAACATAATTATATTATTGGAAGATGGAAGCATGGATTATTGTGTTTATATGCATCTTTGTATTGGTAGTTATTTCTCATTTGATTTGCGTTGTGATCGCTCTGTCGCGGAAAAAGAAAGCGGAAAATGAGAGAAGCGGCGGTAGAGATGGGAACATGGTTGTTCTGGCCGGGGCTGCAGGTGCTGCTGTGGCCGCCGGTGGAGCGGCCGCTACTGTAACGGCAGTTGCTGAGTCGGAGTCTAATGCCGCCGACGAGGAGGAGAAACGACGCAAGGAGGATCGCGTAGAAATTGATGTTGCTGACCTTGCCGAAGCCACAGTGGGCTGTTGCTGTGGCGGCGGCGGGTGTGATTGTGGAGGTGATGGTGGCGGGTGCGGTGGTGGTTGCGGCGGGGATTAAGGATGATGATGAAACTGCAACTTATAGTGCTGCATTTTTGTTTTTCTTTTCCTTTTTTGTTTTTTTTTTTTTTTTTATCAAATCCCACTTTTAGTACTCAACTATTTTGACATTGTCATATAATATCATTAACTTTTTTTTTTGTCCCACTTTTTTTTTTTTTCCTGTAATAATGGAGGTTGATGCCTCGATTCTGAATAATGCTACAGAAAGTTCCTATATATGGCATTGTGATACTAAATAGCAATGGAAACTTCGTGGCTGCCAGGAGAGCCACCAGGAGTGGACTAGTTCGGTACTTAAATGATCCCCACCTAGCTGAGGTTATAGCAGTTAAGGAGGCTCTTTCGTAGATTCTTGAAAAAGTATGACATAATGTTGTGTTGCGATCGGACTGTCAAATGGTATGCAAGTTCTTAAATAATAATCTACCGGACTATTGGTTGCATTTTAAATTATTGCCCGTCACTAAAACGACACTTTGAATTAATTAATGTCTATTCAGTATGTTCATCTATCACTATCAGTGAATAAACTTGCTCATGCATTAGTTAGAGCCGCTGGTTCTCATTCTTGAACATATAATATCTTGATTTTAATGAACTTTATTTTTTTTCAAAAAAAAAAAAAAAAAATTACAAGATAAGCGGATGTATATAGTCATCTATGTATGTATTCGGTTTCCTCTAAGATGCAAGTATGGATTCTGTCTGCTGTATATAGTCATCTATGTATGTATTCGGTTTCCTGTGTATTGTGGTTCCAACCTTGCGAAACAATTAAGGACGCGAGAACTGAGCATAACAAAGCTACTGGAGATGGAAATATGGTTGTTCTGGCCGCCGGAGCCGCCGCCGCCGCTGTGGTGGTGGTGGTGGCGGCGGTTTTGGAGGCGATGATGGCGGGTGTGGAGGTGATGGTGGTGGGGATTAATGTTAATGGAACTGTTTTATTTGATGTTTGTATGCTCTTTTACTGCACCGAAATATTTATGTTTGTCTGTATGAATCATCTCTTCTGCATGTAATTTTGGGTTGGAATTTCTTAACCTCTATTTTCCAGATGTTAAATAACAAATTGTTTTTCACTAATAGTTTTTTTTTTTTCTTTATTTTATTACCTTTTAAAGTCAAAATGCATTTTAATATGATACTCCGTATTAATTTTCTAACCTTACTTCAATTATGTAATTTGTTGAATTGTATTTCTACCTGAGACTAATCCAAATTCATATAAGAATGCATTAAGCATGACAATTACCAATGACCAATGAATCATAATTACAACGGTACGAGTTTAATACATCATATTTTAAGTGATATTTTAAGCAGTTAAATTGTTAATTAATTAAAATCTAATATAATTATCAAATATCACAAGTTAGGCTATTCGCATTTCCGCACTAATACAATTTTTTCTCAGTGAAAGACCACATAACAAAATTTATAATTATTTACTATTCACTCTTCATCCATGCATTTACCTCTCCTCTTTCAAAAATAACTCACTATCATATCAACTTATTAAAAAAATTATTTTTTAACAATAAAGTATTAATAATAATTAAAATAATAATAAAAAAATGTAAAAGCTGCCAGAATTGCAATTCTGAAAATCAAATTGCAACAAATACAATTTGATCGGTCAGAGTTGTTACACGTAGTTCGCACGGGCTTAACTTATTAGTTCAGTATGTAGTATTTGGAGGAAGAGACTAATGTTTGAACCTCAGGAGTAATAGTGTAGGGATCATATCCAAAATGGGCAGATCCTTTGTGCACACCCATACTTGATCATGTCTATTAAGTTATTAAGTCACTATATTTTCTTAAATGCTCGGTCAAATCGGAGTGTTAAGGAAGTTGGGAATTCAACCTTTTAAGAGAAGAAGAGTTGCTACACGTTATGTCTAAAAGAAATGCCACAACAACTTTATAATTGGGATGGATGCAAATTGCCTTATAATATCACAATCACAAATAAAATAATAGTAGATCGGTCAACTATGAAATCTTCGCGGTTACGCAAATACTTCAATGCCTTCGACCTTAATTTATGCCGCCTCCCAACATTATCTGTAATGTTTTCAATTCCTTTTATATGACAGCCCTTTTAAATCATTTGATTTAGTCATACATAGACAATTCAAATTTCAAACCGACTGTATATGATGATAAGATTTTTATATATAATAGAGAAAATATTTTTAAGAGTTGGTCAATTATGTGCAGTTATTCTGCGTGGGGCTGATTGACTTGGTCAAGTCAACTGAGAATATAGAGTTAAATTTCGTTCCAGGCACGTATATACAAAATCCATTCCTGAAGAAACGCAGCAAGTTGCAACATATATATGTGTTATATATCAGATAAAATGCAGAAATAATAGTCATATCCTGGAATCATAGTCGTATAGTAATTCTCGTATTTCGTTTGATTGTAATTATGTTTTGTTTTTGTAAGAGAGGCGGCAAGAAGAAGAAGAAAGGTTACGAGGTTTCCGGTGGCGTACGGCCTGCAGGAAGAGCTAGAGTTTCTGTTGGTCAGACCTACAACTATAATGGCGGTGGGGGTATGCATGCCGCCGCCCATAACGGCGGCTCAGGTGGCGGTGGTGAAAGTGGGGTCGGGGTTGCTGCTACTGCAACTACCTTTGCTGCCACTGCTGCGTTGGCCGACATAGGTTTCAGTGGAAGTGGTGATGGCGGTTTTGGTGGCGGAGACGGTGGTGGTGGTGGTGGAGGTGGAGGAGGAGATGGCGGTGGTGGAGGTGGAGGAGGAGATGGCGGCGGTGGTGGTGGTGGTGGTGGTGGAGGAGGTGGAGATGGTGGAGGTTGTGGTTGAATTTGGATCAAGGTTACAAAATGGCGATAGTTCTCGCTTCTCAGCTCAATCATTCATGTAAATTGGGTTATTCATTCAAACTTTACAGTTTAATTTA